TAAGAATGAGACAGTTAAGGCTAGGCAACCTACTTAAGAGTATTAGTCTGGTAATTGTTTATGTGTTTCAGGTGAAATAGACGACTATACCAAATTAGATTGTTTGCAGGTGTGTGGTTTAAGAGTGCACAAGTTAAGGTGGAACACCCTGTAATGTCTATACAAGTGAACACATTTCATCACATGATCCTAAAATGTTTTCGTCACAGACTGCACTTTAATCAAAACAAACCATGACACAACAACCTACAGTATGCATTGAAAAATATAGTACTATTTGTATTTGGATTTCAGTAGAAAAAAAATCAACTGTCCCATCAGTTTACAATTTTCAAAATGGAACTGGAATTAAAAATGGAAGACAGCTAAAATCTGATACTAAATACCAGTATGTGTATGGTAGCTGACACTGAAAAGCGGTTGTGTGGGTTGCCATGACAACAACGGAAGCCAGCGTGTGAGACCGCACATTTATTTCTGTCTGTTTCCTTTTCCTTATTTTATAAGATAAGTTACAAGTCTTTTTATAAATTTCTTGCTTGAGGAAAATGTTTCCATTAAAATAGTGGTTAGTGGACCGGAACTTGTTAATCGAAAAGCTGTGCGGTTCAGCGGGAGAGATAAGAGGGAACTATACCACGGCAGATCGTCATACCTTTGTACTGCTGGTTTTACAAGGCGTACATGGTAAATTTATGCTGTGTTACGTGCCATAAGTGTTTGCAGGAGGTCCTGGCAGACTTCCCGCCCTCGTCGCCATTCGCCAGCTGCATCTTCAGCTCCACCCACAGGCCTTGTCATCGGCAGCTTGTCCGCTATGCATCTTGGCTCCGCCTCCCCAACCTGACCCCGCCCACAACTCCTCCGATGCGCCTCTCATCATTTCCGGGTCCTGCGAAGAAAAGGACACAGCTCACGCACCTAAGGAGCTCTGCTCATTGTTTGGATTGTATTTGGTTTGCTTATTGATTTTTGATTATCTGTGTATGACAGTTTTGTTTTTCGGATTTTGATTTCTCGCTTCGCCCTTCGGTACTTTCGCTTTGGTTTGATTTGTTTTCTGGTTTCTTTGATCTCTCGCTTGTTTTCGACTACTCTCTTTGCCTTCTCCCTTCGGTACCGTTGCTTGTGTTTTTGTGTGCTTGCTGTATGTGTTTGTGCCAGGTGTAAGGAGTGACTGCCTTTTTGTTTCTTGCATGACGTGGTTTACTGTATGTTTGGGTAGGGAGTCAGAGTTTAGTGTTGTTATTTTGTTTCCTTTTGTTACACTTGGGGGTAGATTAGTTTCGGGACATGTTCGTTAGCTGTTTTGTTTGTTGTTTTGGCCTGGGTCACTCCCGAAGTCTGTTATACCTGGTGTTTGTGAAAGTGTTTGTGGAAAAAAAAAAAAACATAAAAAAAGATCCCTCTTGTTTCCCGTGTTCCCTTTCCCTTATTCCCCACTTGTCTCGTCCTCCCCTTTCCCTTTCCCTTACCTTTCTGGTGATCCCCAAGACTGGGGATCGTAACAGCTGGTTAACTTTGTGAAGCACTTGTGTTAAAATAAATGTCTGAAATGGATGTCATATGTACTAGTGAAACTACTTTATTTCTTTCTAGTTTTCACGGTGCTCCATGATTGTGAGGGAGAGGAAAATAAACAAAATTGTGGATGAAACGGGGAATTTTTGACCAGGGTAGATACATGTATCATATGGCAATACAGACAAGACAAACTCAAGCTCAAGATATTTGCATGCCAAATTAACCTTGTAAAAAGAAAATTTTCACATTTACACAAATGTATTTGAATTTTATTTGTTGTGATGTATTAGCTGGATTATAATCAGCTGTAACAGACAACATACTGACCTTCCTGGAACTGCATCTTATGTCTGTTCAAGACCTGCTCAGGCTGTACAGAGATATGATGACAATGGCAATAGGACAACTCCACTGGGTAACACCTCACTCAGCCTCCACTGATTCACATGGCAAATTAGTGTGCTTTTTAACAAAAGCTATCATCGCATGCACTTACATATCTATACAGAGATGAACAGTGAAAGTCAGTTTATTTTCATGCAATTTATTAAAATTGTAGTCCATTCAATTTGTCGCCGTTTTTGAGGTTCTCAATCTATCAAAGTTTTAACCAAAAATGAAGCACTGAAGTAAAGAAATAATAACTTGGATTATACCGGGATAATTATTGATATCGTTTGATATGGAAATAAAAAAATATTTTGCCATATCGCCCATGCCATCACACACACAGAGTATGTCACGCCCACAGGGGCAGGGCGGCACAGTGGCAGGCAATCGCCACCTAATTAAGGGCTCTAAAACAGACACGATCTCTGTAATCGCAAAGTATTGTTGCCAGATTCATGACGCGTACTGAGCATTTCTTTGTCTACTGTCTCTCCCGCTTGCCTTGCTGTCTCGCCTGCCCTGCCTGCCTCCTCGACCCTGCCTGCCTGCCCTCTTCACCCTGCCTTCCCAATCCTCTCTCAATGTGTTCCTTGTCCCTTTGTCTCATCGTCCCGTCTCTCACTGTAGGATTGACCTTCCCAGCTTCTGACCTTCTGCGACCAACCCGACCATTCTCTTGGATTCTCCCATTTTGGTGTACCCGATCATCCCATTAAAGCATTCTCCTGCATATTGGGGTTTGCCTCTTCCCTGACAGTGAAGCATGACAGAATGCTTCACTGTAATAACATGGACCCTGCAGAGAACCAGAGGCTGCAGCAGCAGGTCGACCATCTGACCAACCTCGTCTCTCAGCTACTGGAAGGATGGGCTGCTCAGGCTGATCTGCCCGCTTCTCCAGCCAGAGTGTCCACCCCAGTGCCAGTCGCCATGCCTGAGAAGTACGACGGCAACCCAAACCAATGTCAAGCCTTCCTCATGCAGTGCGGACTGTTTTATTAAGG